CGCCACGCATGAGCTCGGCGGCGAGGAGGGTTGATGTGATCGTTCGCTTTACTGACGTCAGCGGCCAAGAACTTGGGCGCCTGGCCAAAGATACTGCCAACTGGGTCTCGACACTGATGGACCAACGAATATGCAAGTTTGAGGGCACATGCGTCTATGCCCCTGAGAGACTGCGGACCAACGACACTGTCTTCCTACAGCTCAAAGTCTCGCTATTAAAATCGGCCTTTTTTGGTCGAGGATTCCAAACTGCCGACAACAGAACGACTGGTCTTTTTCAGGAAACCGAGACATCGGAAGAAAAAGAGCTCCGGCTGAGACAAGTGGCTCTCGTCAGACTGTTCCAGGAAATTGGTCTCGTTCCTTCGCGTGGGAACGCGGCAGCAGCAAAGGACCAGCGGCAAGGGCTTCTCACAGCGGCCGAGTTGGCCGAAAACAAGGCGAGGGAAAAAACTAAGTCTTCGGAAAAAGACAATCCCGAGTCTTCCCCGCACGAGGACGAGGACGAAGACGGCGAGGAGCTCGAGCAAGACCAGTTAGATTCTCTCTACAAGAAGGCCCAGTCGTTCGACTTCAACACACCTGAAGCCGAGCCTGCTGAAACGTTTGCTATGACATTGCGTCGGTATCAGAAGCAATCGTTGCACTGGATGCTGGCCAAGGAAAAAGACGAGCGGAACGAAGACCGGGAACTGTCTATGCACCCATTGTGGGAGGAGTACGCCTGGCCAACCAAAGATTATAATGACAAGGAGCTTTCACAAGTGGCACATCAGTCAACCTTCTACGTCAACCCCTATTCTGGCGATTTGTCGTTAGACTTTCCCCGTCAAGAGCAGCACTGTCTTGGAGGAGTTTTAGCGGATGAAATGGGTTTGGGGAAAACCATTCAAATGCTCGGTTTGGTCCACTCTCACAGATCACAAGCGGCTATTCGGGCTAAGGAATCTGGTTCCTCGATCGGATCAGTCAACAGTCTTCCACGCCTCCCGTCGGTTTCTTCAAGCGTTGGCGTCTTAGACGCTCCTTGCACGACCCTCGTCGTCGCTCCTATGTCTCTTCTGGCGCAATGGCAGAGTGAGGCAGAGAACGCGTCAAAAGAAGGGACTCTCAAGTCCATGGTCTACTATGGAAGTGACAAGAATGCCGATTTGCTGACGTTATGCTGTGAAGCCAATGCTGCGAACGCTCCCGACCTGATAATCACGAGTTATGGTACTGTGCTCTCGGAATTCAGCCAGATAGCCTCGAAAACCCGTGACAGGGGCGGAAGCCGTGGAATCTTTGCGCTGAGTTTCTTCCGCGTTATTCTTGACGAGGCACACAGCATCAAAAACCGGCAGTCAAAGACGGCAAGGGCTTGCTACGAGATTGCCGGAAAACACCGATGGGTGTTGACAGGAACGCCGATCGTCAACAAGCTTGAGGATCTCTTCAGTCTCGTCCGGTTCTTGAGAGTCGAGCCCTGGAATAACTTTTCTTTCTGGAGAACTTTCATCACAGTGCCGTTTGAGTCCAAAGATTTCATGCGGGCTTTGGACGTCGTTCAAACCGTCCTGGAACCGCTTGTTATGAGAAGAACCAAGGATATGAAGACCCCGGACGGACAGCCTTTGGTGGCGCTCCCGCCCAAGCGTATTGAGATAGTCAACATCGAGCTCTCTGAGACGGAACGTGCGGTCTACGATTACATATTTACCCGGGCAAAACGAACTTTCAATGCCAACGTCGAAGCCGGCACAGTCATGAAGGCATTCACAAGCATTTTTGCCCAGATTCTCCGTCTCCGCCAGTCGTGTTGTCATCCCATTCTTGTCCGAAACCAGGAGGTTGTGGCCGATGAAGAAGTAGCCACTGCCGCTGCTGACGCTGCTGCTGGGTTTGCGGATGATATGGACCTCTCTTCCCTAATCGAGCGTTTCACGGCTACGACAGATGATACAACTGATTCGAATGCTTTTGGTGCGCATGTCTTGGGGCAAATTCGGGACGAGGCCATCAACGAATGCCCCATTTGTGCTGAGGAGCCTATGATCGATCAGACTGTCACAGGCTGCTGGCATTCGGCCTGCAAAAACTGCCTTCTCCAGTACATCAAGCACGAGACAGACCATCACAACGTTCCCCGGTGCTTCAACTGCCGGGAGATCATCATCTCCCGCGACTTGTTTCAGGTCGTGCGTCATGACGACGACGACGACAAGTCTAGGGGCTGTCTTGGGAAGGAGACCCGCATCAGTCTTCAACGTCTCGGGACCAGTGATTCTTCAGCAAAGGTTGTTTCTCTCATTGAGCACCTGCGCGATCTACGAAGAGAAAGCCCGACGATGAAGTCTGTCGTTTTCAGCCAGTTCACTTCTTTCCTTTCGCTTATTGAGCCTGCACTGACTCGGGCAAAGATGCATTTCTTGCGGCTGGATGGGTCAATGGCCCAGAAAGCGCGCGCAGCGGTGCTCAACGAGTTCAAAGAGTCCAAGAAGTTCACCATTCTGTTGATCAGCCTCAAGGCCGGCGGCGTTGGGCTAAACCTAACCAGTGCAAAGAGAGTGTTCATGATGGATCCGTGGTGGAGCTTTGCGATCGAGGCACAGGCTATCGATCGCGTCCACCGGATGGGCCAAGAAGACGAGGTGAAAGTGTATCGTTTTATCGTAAAGGACACCGTCGAGGAGAGAATGCTAAAGATACAGGACAGGAAGAAGTTCATGTGAGTATAATTCTGCTCTAAACCTGGAATTTCTCCCTTCGCGACTGTATTGGGTAGTGATTTGGCTAACACTTCCTTCTAGTGCAACGTCGCTTGGCATGATGTCAGACGAAGAGAAGAAGTTGCAGAGGATTGAGGATATTAGAGATCTACTTAGCTGAGCCAGACAAGCCATGCATATGGTACATGTATCATTGTTGAACTTGCATGGTAATGAGCAGTGTGTTATTTACTGGGCGGGCCACCAGCATGTCAGTAGCCCAGGCACACACGGCCTGGACTGTGGCAGCTTTTTTATGTTGCACCAGGCATGTAATCCATATTAAGGCTGGTCTGTCTGAGTATCTGAGTAGCCCTCTGGCCTCTTTGGCATGTATCAAGAATGTGAGCTTAGCACCCTCGCAACAACGTTGGGTCTTCAAAGGGTTATAGATATTTTATAAGGCGGACAGTTTATGTTGTCTATGTGCACATACATGGTTAATACATTTCTTCGTTCATATAGAGAGTATATCTGGTGTGTAGTAAGGCAAGTCACAATAATATCCCCAGGGTCGGGTCACTTCCAAGTTGTTCGACTGTAGGTCTTGCAGTAACCATTCAGATCATGCCACCGGCCAACCGGCCAATGCCGCTGTCCCCCGTTCACCATGATCTTGTGAGTAAACAGATCGGCCCAAGCCTAGCCATCTTCCGCTTCGGTGCTAGCCCTTTGTTGCCAGACTAGCCTGGTAATTTTGGTGCCGTATCTCCTAGGGTTCTCGTCTACAAGACCTTGGTGTCGCCGTGTTTGTACCCATAGCGCGCATGGATCGTCTCAAATTGGTGCGCCGCTCGTACCTGTCTTTATAACTAGACTGAAGCCGGATCTCTGTCTTGATCGCGCATGGTAATACTCAAAAGCTGCGCGAAAAGGGGGCGAATAGGGAGCTACGGAGTAGTTTCCATATTAATTATTGGTACAGGTTGGCTTGGTGAGGAACCTAACGGCAGGGCGAATGTGGGGTTGTGATTCCGCTACGTTCACCATGTCTCGTCGCGCTCGGGTAAGGTCATCATATCCAGGGACTTTAGCAGAGTGGCCCAGGTGCGGTCTTGACAAGGTGAATTATTATGTGAACAGCTCCCTTCTCTAACAGGTTTATGGGGGGTTCAATGTGCTCATGTGGTAAACGAGTCTCGCCCCCTCCCGTCCGGGGAATGTAAACAGAGAGGCGGTCTCGGAGCCTCGATATCAAGTCTAATTAGTTATCAACAGGCCATATTAGGGGTTATTTAGTTCCCTACAGCCCTTCGTCTTTGCTAAGGCCCTAGAGATAAAGTTCGATGGTTCGGTAGATGGGCTGGTTGGCGCAGTGACCAATGAAGGTCTGGAGTCTGCGGTGATATTACACGGGACTAGACGAGTCAGTGGCGGATAGACATTTCCACATGATTCCTAAAGTCCTCGGAGATGACCCAGGCCGTCAAGACGACGGTTTGCAAACGCATCTCAAACAGGCAACTTTTCAAGGGGATAGATAACCGCTCGTTTCAGTCATCATTTCAGTACTAATTCCATCTTCAATCGCCACAATGAAGACATCCAGCATCCCCCTCGTCGCCTTCTTCGTCGGCGCGCTTGCCTGTCCTCATGCGCTGAGACACGCGCCGGCCGAGTTCAAATTCCACCTTGCCGTAAACATCGCCGCCCGGGAAGACAAAGCACAGTATCACGGAGACATGACCTATTATGAGGTCGGCACGGGCGCCTGTGGACACGATGACAGCGGGAAGGGAAGCGTTCAAAACATTGTGGCCGTGTCGGGGGCACTCTTGGGAGAGGGGTCCAGCACAAACATGTGCAACCGCAAGATATCTATCAAGGGAGACAACGGAAAGGAAGTCACGGCCGTCATCCGCGACAAGTGCCCCTCGTGCGATGAGGGCGCGCTCGACGTCAGTGAGAAGGTCTTTAAGGATGTTGTCGGCGATCTCCGTGTCGGCAGGGCCAAGGTATCGTGGACTGTTATTTAGTTTTGGTGGAGCTCGGAGGACCCGGTGCCTTCAGATTCAACACAATTACCCATTACACCTGTGCCATGGTGTTCAGGCAACCTCTATTCTTGCTCTTCGATTCAAATGTAATTAATTCCATGGTCTTGTCCCAGTCTACTATCAAGCACTGTGTTCCCTTTTATTACCAATTACATACCTTAATTGCCAACTCGGAATCAAGAATAGGGACGGGGTCCTATGGGCGCCGGAGTAAAAAGTGAAGTCCATCAAGCCTTCCAACGCAACATCATTTGGATGCCCACACTCAGAATTGAACCGAGAATCTCCTCATTACGAGTGGGACGCCGTAGCCATTTGGCCATGCGGGTCTTTGAGTGCTCTAGACCTAGGCCGAGGACCTGTGGATCCCACGCCCTAAGGCAACCTATACCCGATGAAGGATCGTTGTGCAACTTTGGGAAGAAACGTATAAAATTTGATAAATGATTATTAGATGCCTCGAGCTAATTAATTACTCAATAAGCTGCACGGATAGGCGGAACGAGGAAAACGAGGTATCTGCTCTCTGATTCTATTTTGAAACAAGAAAAATTTGATTATCCACAGATTGGGATGTTGTTCTCAGGTCTATGCTGTCCCCGACTAGACAGTCTGTCTGTCGTCTGCTGTTCGCGATGAACCTGACCTGCTCCTGTCAACATTCTCATCACCTGTTTCCACGCCCAAAGGCCCGATAGCGGCATCTATATCCTTGCCTAGCGTGTATGGCCGAAGAAAGAGACCGGCAACGAGACTCGCAACTGCGAAGCCGGTATACTGAGACGCAGTTGGAAGAATCAGTATCAACCGGAAGTTAGAAAGGGGCAATAAAAGGACCGTGTAGATCAAACTTCGGGGAGCGTAGCCTACCAGAATCCACACTGTCCGCAAAGCTCTTGTCAGGGCTTCTCTTGCAATGGCCCGCTGGTCAGGCGGGAGAGAGCTGACAGCCTCAACGTGCGTGGCAGCCTCTCCTCCCCCCAAAAGACTCAAGGCATCCGCTCCAAGAGCAGAAATCAGATCCCTCGCCTCGTCAGCCATCCGGTTCTGAAAGGTAACGCCGCCCACTATTATGGAAATGGCCGAGGAGAGTGACCGAATAAAGCCAAATGTCGACGTTGCTGTGGCAATATCGCGAGGCTCAGAGATGGCCTGAACAGCGAGAAGAGGCGGCTCAAAGAGCATGCCCACCCCGATGCCAGCTACCAGCTGGGGGATGATGATCCGAGGCCAGTTGGTTGTAGCCTCGAGAAGGAGAAACAAGCCGGTTCCCAGAGCAGTCAGCGTGATACCAATGTAGACAAGAACCATGTACTTGCCGGTCCGCTGGATGAACAGGCCCGTGGACGCCCCCGAGAGACTGATCGAGACGATGAAAGGAATGAGATAAACACCCGACAACAGCGGGCCAACACCCAAGACAGCCTGGAAGTAGAGGGGAAGGTAGAATGCGGCACCCAGGAATACAAAACCGTGGCAGAAACACATGGTAAAAGCCGCCACATTGGAGGGCCGACGAAAAAGGCGGAGAGGCACCACGGGTTGAACTGCCACCTTCCACTCGTTGAGGACGAACAGCACACCCACCAATGCTCCAAAAACAATCAAGCAGACCACAACGGCCGAGCCCCAGGGATACGCAACGCCGCCAAAGTCTAATCCCACGAAAAACATGGTAGTGCTCCCGATGATGAGGAGACTTCCCGTCCAGTCGATGGCCCGGAGTCCATCGCGAAATGGCCGCTTGGGACTCTTTAGCCGAAGCGTGAAGAACAGAAGAATGAAGACAGCCCCGGAGATGGGGACTGGTGAATTGTCAGCAAAGTAGGTTTGTTGGTCTTGACATGAGAGAGGGGTGAGGGGGATATACGAGAATAACACGTACGATTGATCCAAAAGCACCATCTCCAGCTAGATTGTAGCCAAGCAGGTGTCAGAGAGAAATACCTAGACCATGGAAAGCGAAGGGGAAGGACGACGGAGGGTCACGACTGCACTGCCCGGTAATTAATTACTCACTTCAGCTGCTGTGTAAAGACGCCACCCAAGACAGGGCCTACCGCGCCGGCCAGGGCCCAGACAAAGTTGGTGAGACCAAGATACAGGCCGCGGTCTCGGAGCGAGAACAGGTCGCTCACGCAGATATTGACCAAGGTGGTGAGTCCGGCGGCGCCGAGGCCCTGGACAGCACGGCCGGCAATGAAGGCAGCAAACGAGGAGCCAAGGGCACAGACGAGACTGCCGGCGAAGAAGATGGCGACGGCGGCGAGCAGGACAGGCCGGCGGCCCCAGATGTCGGAGAGGCCGCCCCACGAGGGCGTGCTTGCCGTGTTGGTCAGGATGAAGGCGCTCCCGATCCATTGGTAACCCGAGGGGCTGGCCAGGTCGCCGGCGATGGTGGGCGTGGCTGTTGCGATGATGGTGATGTCGAGCGCTGCCACAAAGACGCTTGCGCAGAGCGACGCCATGATGACGGCCATCTGGAGACGCGTGTGCGTGTACCTTGGGGTTCCCGCTCCCGCTCCTGCCCCTGGAGCACCTTCCACTTCGACGGCTCCTTCTCCTTGGCTAGCCTCGAGGGGATCTGCGGGCACTACTGCTGCCTTGGTCTCTTGGTTGATTTGCACGAGATCCGAAAGGCCTGGAGCAATTCCCGATACTCCATGAGAGGTTTCCATGACGAATCAATGCGGACCATCGACTGGTTGGTGAGGTGCCTAGGTGGGTAGGCTTTCCCCGGAGGCAGGATGTTGATCTCGGGCTGTTTCGTGATAATAATAAAGAGATAATACCGGAAGGGAACGGCTTCCTGGCTTTCGACTAGGCAGTCTGCCAATTAATTATATAAGCATACCTCCTGGGTCTTTTCTTACCAGATCATGCCTCCGGTGTCACAGATAAACAATTAGTTGCGGCCGTCTTTTCGCAAGTAGGTCCAAGGAGAATGAATTCGAGTTCTGCTCACATCACTGTGTTGGCCTATTTATCAAACACGACGCTCCCCGGTCCTCCGCTTCTGACCAATCAGAGCACTGGAGTCCGGGCTTAGCAGGAACCGTAACATCTAGGAACGAGCACACCTCTTGAGGTAATCTCAAGTTCGCGTTATTAACAATTAATTGCACAGCCGTTATTGAAGTAACTACCGTTGACTGTTTACCTACCTTAGTTAATTATTACCCTGGTCGGCAGGCCAGTACCCAGCCCCGGCCCACTCCCATCAACGACGGTGACTTTCCCAAGTGAGTCTCTTGGTGTGCAGCCAACCTTTGCCCTGCAAAAGAATTCGGCGGGGTTTCATTTGGCCCCATGCCTATGTGGGTACTGTACCTAGGTAGTCAGCACTAAGTATGTATGTGACCTAGTTCTAGCAAATTATACGTGTATCCGTACTGGCTGGCAATCGGATACGGTGAGGACGGCCGCGGGCATCCGTAGTTGGTGCTATCTTTCGCACCCGGACCGAATCAAGTCTGCCTTCGTTGGTGCCATAGACGCGGGCACGCATCCACCGTTCCACCCAGACGACCCGGCAGCCAAACACAGTTACCGTAGCTATAGGTTCACCTGCAAGTCGCTTGCAGCTTCACAACGTCACATAATTACGGAACACTCCGCCCTTGGCTCAAGCTTAGACTTGGACTCAAGCTCACTTGGTGCTCCGTCTAGTTTTTGCCCTATTTAAGAGGTTGGCTGCAGCGAATTTTTTTAATTTTCTTTTTGGCGCAGCTCCCAGCTTGCACTGCCGCACTGCGTGGTCTTGGTCTTGTATCATCGTCAACATCTGACACACCCCAGCTTCATTCACCAATTACCCAACACCACACCGCCGCTTAATTACACTGCCCCCCTCCCAAGTTACCGTGACCGTTCACGCACCGCACTCTCGCTGCCATGTCTCTCCGCGAGCAGATGGTCCAGGCGGCCAGGGCGTGGATAAAAGCGCACAACGACCGCAGCCCCGACGCCATCAGGGCACTCGCAGCTGACGACTTCGTCGCTCACTTCTTCCCGGCCTCGCTGCCGGCCCAGGGCGACAAAGACCGCGAAGGCTACGTGCAATTTCAGGCCCAAGCGTTCCCCCTGTTCGCTACCTACCACGCTGCCGAGGTCGACATGATCGTTGACGAGTCGCAGCGCAAGGTCGTCATCTACCTCGACTCGCGGGGCACCGCCGCAGTGCCTGGCGTGGTCGACCCGTACAGGAACCAGTACGTCCACAAGATCACCCTGACCGACGACGTCAAGCTGGTCAAGGTCTTCGACTCCTTTATCGACAGCCAGGCAATGATGGCCTTTATGGGCAAGGTCTTTGCAGCCACGGGCGCTGCGCCTGAGGGCAAGTAATTAAGCACGGGGGCATCTTTTAGGACATGTACTGCACACGGCGGTGCAAATCTACAAGTACCAGTAGGATGACGGGGGCTAGGAGGTGGTCTTGCATAGATGCTTATACTCGACAATCCAAAGCAAGGTCTTCGTCCCATGTAGCTGAAAAGTAATTAATATTCGCTCCGTGGCGTGACACTCCCACTAATTTCAGAGCAACAAACCGCCTGCCGGGGTAAATGATGGCGTTTCACCGGGGCAGGGAAATTAATCGGCTATTATATGGCCGACGATGTCGACCTGAAATAGCTAGAGTCTCTGGCGGCAGTGACAAGGCTACCAAACAACCCGGAGGTCTACCATTCAATGCAAGAGTAGAAGACAGACGAGGACAAAAAGATGGACTGGAATTTCAAACCGAATATCAAGCTATTTTTTTTTCTCATTACGCGTATGCAGCCCATAGGGCTATGACGCGGCCTATTTAAGCTATAGACGGGGTGGAGCACAGAAACACGAAGACTCGCATTTGGTTCAAAACAGCACCAAAATCGACGAAAGCGACATCAATCAATTGCCCTCGACTAGCTCTCAACGCATACGCAATGGCTGCACCGCGCGGCAAGTTGCGCGGGCGCATGGAGGGTCGAAAAGCAAAGCAATTGGGCCTAAAGACCGACGGTGAAGATTCTTTAGATGACCTGCCGGACCCACCGCAGATCACGAGACTTCCCGACCTTCCCGAAAGCCCCACCTTGACCCAATGGGCTAGAATCAGCCAAGCAAAAGCCACCCAAAAAGCCACTCAAAAAGCCACCCAAAAAGCCACCCAAAAATCCACCGCGCACAAAGTCAACCCCGCAGCCATAGCCACAGTCACAGCCACGGCCACAGCCACAGCCACCAACCCCGCAGCCAACCACGCAGCCACCAACCCCGCAGCCAACCGCGCAGCCAACTACGCAGCCAACCACGTAGCCAACCACGCAGCCAACCATAC